AAGATTTTTCATTGGACTCTTAATTAGTGATGGATCCTGATGTTAAAACTAAATTAAGAAATATCTATTAATTTTAAATTAAATAAATATAAATACAATGTTATTCATATTATTTTAAATTTTAATAGGACTCTTTAATATAAATCTTTTAAATCATATATATTTTATTTAATTTTAATTTATTTTTTAGATATATTTTTAAGGGTAACTAAACATTTTTATTTAATTTTAAAAATCTTAATTTTTTATTAATCTTTAGAGAAGCATAAAAAAGTGTTCCTAAAAATTGATGCAACTTTTTGAGACATTTTTTATAAAAAGCTTCTCTAAAACTTTTAACGACATTTCTTACACCGTCTAATTAGCCTATAAATCCTTATTTAAATGTCGTCTAACATTTAGTTACATTTCTCATTTTTGTCATTTAAATCCTTCTCTATAATGGAGCTTTAGATACACTTCTAAAAACTTCTCTAAAGCTTCTTCTTCTTGTAGTATCATCTTTAACCAACCAATAGCTTCTTTAAGGCACACTCTCGAGATTTAGAATGGCACATATTCATACACATAACCTCCATGTCTCGATGTAAGGCTAGAGTCTTGATAATGGCTCAAGACATTTCCTTATATAAGCTAAATGGAACGAAGACGAGTCTTTTTTATTATATGTAGCTCTCTCGAATTTACCTTCATATCATTCAAATTGACATGTGCTTATTGGCTTATCTCAGTCCAACACAATTTTAACACTTTTAAACAAGTGATCAACTTGTCCATGGATGTTATTTTGCAATATCCACTTGAAGGATGGGGTAGGAAAGACTTGTTATTTAACTAACAACTTATACTACCAAAAATCAGTTTTTAATCTTAACATTACCCCATACCCAAGCTATATATTTAGCTTACCATACTTGAAATAAAAGGAATTAGATGGAAAAAGGATAAAATACATCAAAAGAAATTAAAGTACAAGTATATAAAAGATAATAATGGAAAATGCATTAAATAAAAAAAAATTAAAGACTTAGGGGCTGTTTACCTAAACACTTACCCGGTAAGAACTTACCGGTAAAATTCAACATTATCGTTTACTTATTAGGTAAGATTTGAGTCCACCAAAATGACATTATTTGTAATAATTTACCCGGTAAGCGCTAACCATGGTAAGAGTTCTCGCCATCACTTATCGGGTAAGACTCCCGGTCCTTGTCATATTCTTCCGGTAAGGTAATGTGACTTGGTAAGCGTTTACCCAAATAAGCATTTGGTAAACGGTCCCTTAAATGCTTTCTTGAAACTAGAGAGAATGACCAAAGATGCTTCTAAAAGTTATATTACATCTGAATTTGTAACTAGAACTTTGCTTACTAAAAAGTGTCTAATACCCCCTTCTTTATATACTAAGAAAAGGGGACACAACGACTAAAGGATAAGCTTTTATCCAACTTTTACAAAAGTCAAATAATAAGTCATGATATATATATATATATATATATATATATATATATATGCAGTAGACCAAAGGTGAATAAGATCACAAAAGATCCATCGTACTTTTGCCAAAAAGCCATCGAACTCACCCTACAACCTCATGTTTCACCACTCTTCCAGCATCCCTTTCCAGAACCTTGATTTTTGACCCAAAAGTCACCAAACTAGATTGTTTCTTCTTCCAAGCTTCATAAATAAGAAATATATAAAATAATAACAAAAAAGACTCAAAACAGTGGCGGATCCAGAAACTTATATTATTGGGGGCACATTTAAGAGTGTCAAAACAAATTCTGAAACCAAATAACTCATTCGAACCAATACGATTTCGGGTTATTTGGTTTCCGGATTAAACGGTTCCGTTATCGAATAAATATAACTTATTTGGTTTGGTTTTCAATTAAATTTTGACTATTTTGGATAAACCGAGATATCATATTCCCATGTACATATTTAATTTTCGGTTAAACAAAAGCAAATGAACACACTACACATTAATAGTTAGTAGCAAGAAATTAGAGAGCAACTCAGATTCAGTTAAAATGAAATCAGATAGCAAAAGGCTAAGAAATCAAAAATAAAAGATAAACTAGTAGCAAACCTTAAATCAAAATAACAAATTAAAGAATCCTAAGTCAAATAACAAATTAAAGAATCCTAAGTCAAATAACAATTAAGAAAGAGAAAATTAATGATTAACAAATAACAATAATTATAAATCTATAAAACAATAAAATGCAAAAAGAAAGTTGGAAAAAATCAAAATAGTGATTAATCAAATCATTAGCATTATAACAAACAAAATAAGAAAAATAAAATGATTTTCAACAGATTGAGACTTGAAACTTAAGGGCGTTTAATTGATTCTTAAAATAATGACTCAGTGAAGTAGAAATTATAAACGAGACACGTAAATTTAGATTTGGAGCCTTACATTTAATTGTTGGGGGCCTATTAAGATTTTTTGGTTAATTTTTTTTTTAAACCTACCATTATGCTCTATTTTGGTGTTTGTTGGGATTAGTTTGTTGGGGGCCTATGCCCCCTACAAGTATAGTGTGCATCCGCCTGTGACTCAAATCATCCATTTAAGGATGTAAAACATAAAAGAAAATGAGGAAATTTGATCATACTCTCGGCCCGAGAAAACCTTTGCACGCCTCTGTTACCTTTTGGGAGGCATACACATGCAAATGTAACTGAATCCTTTTGTGATCCAGATAATATGGGACATAGATCACGGTTGCAGAAAGATTACTTAGACGTGGGTTAAATAAAATATGAAAATATATATAAAACGAGGAAGTTTATAATATAAACAATACTCATCAAAACCCCCCCCCCCCTCCCCCCACCAGAAAACTTAAAAGTGTTGCTTGTTTCCAAACAAATAAATGACAAAAGCATGACTCAAAAAACGCAAATAGAACAAATTTCTTCTTTGAATGTGTTTTCTCTGTTATTACTTTATGGCAGCAATGCTTTTGAGATACAACATTACCTTTACTAGGTTTCTTCTTTTTCTGAACTCGACGTATAGCAGTGCATTACTATAACATTCAATATTGCTATTTCTTCCCCCAAACTTAAGAGAACAACAATGTGCTCATTGCATACTGAGAATGGATGGGGGAGGTAGAAGGGTTGGGAAGAAATAGTTGCACAAAGAGAATAGTGTATAAGCAAGTTTATACAAAAGATGATATGTGTCATTTCCCAAGTCCTTTTGGATGAATCAAGATTATGACCCAATAATCCTTTGTTTAGTTCTAGAAGCAAATTGGTGAGCAAAAGGGACTAAATTATATATAATTTACTTGGGCTATAGAAACTTAGGTCAACATAAGATGTAACTTCACTGGGTGTTAAGCCTAACATTTTTTCTTGTTGGTATATATATACGTCATGTCCTGGTTGGGAATGGTATTGGAGACACTATAAAGAGTTGAGTGTTAGTCAGAGGCACAAAAGGATTTAACTGCACGGGGACGCCTTTTGTATTTTGGGTTGTAATTTGTTAATGTCCAACCTCTAATTGTCATTTTAGGTGATTCGATTATTGTCCCTTAGAAAGAATTTATCATTCCATTGATATATTCATGCTTACTCATAAGATAACAAGATACACATTTAATCAGAAAATTAAACTGTTCAATAATTCAATATTAGTTTTTTTTATTTTCTCATTCATTTATGTATTTTTAAATTTTAACATTTAACTTTAAATAATGAAAAAAACAAAGAATCATTACAAAAAATAAAAAATGTTGCAAATATAAAATGACACGTGTCCAGCAACCTATCGACGATTAAAAATTTGGAGCCGTCGTGGTTTGAACTTTGAAGTGAGATTGCCGTCCAGCGGAGGTCTCTATATTATTAACTCCTGTCATTAATTTACATATTATTATTTTTATTATTTTCTTTTATTAATATCGATGTGTCCATCAATATATTAAATATTAGCTTTAGATGGAAAAAAATATGTGAAACAATGCATTACAGTAACAGTTCTCACGATTATTATAATACATGGAGTTCTCAAATGATTAAACCTTATACATACATACACATACACATACACATACACAAACACATAGACGCACGTGTGTGCACGCGCGCTGTATAGGGTTAGGTTCCGGTGAGAATTAGAATTAGGTGAGAAACGTAAAAATAGATCTACACCCTTGGATGCAAATTAGAATGAGATGTATAGAGATGAGATGCACCAGATCCCCGTATCAAGCGTAACTCGTGGATTGGTTTGAGATTAAAAATGATCAGAGGTCCAGACCCCTTTTTATGTTTTCATCTTAACTTAAATTCTCACACGATCCTCGCCTAACTATATAAGTAATACATATAAAGCTACATTTTTGTAAGGTTGGACTCTGGTGAGAAGTACATTTTTGTAAGGTTGGACTCCGATGAGAAGGAAAGTTATGTTGAGAAGCGTAAAAAGAAGGCTTCATCCTTTGATCAATCCTAATTGAATGTCAACACCAATGAGGTGCACCGGATGTGTCGAATCAATTCCCTTCTAAAACGTAATCCATGAGTGAACATGAGATTAAAAATGATTTAAGTGTTTAGATTTTTTCTTACGTTTTTCACCGTAACTTTTATTCTCACACAATATTTCACCCATTTATATATGTATAAATAAATAAATAAATAAATAAATATATATATATATATATATATATATATATATATATATATTATAGAGAGAGAATATTCCATTGCCAGCTTAGTTTGTAACAGAGAAAGTGGCAAAGCACTAGGTGCCAAAGACCTTTGCTTATATTTAGGCCTGCAAATCTCTACCCTTTAAACCCAACAGAAATAACTGATTACCTGTATAAAATTCCCAGAATACCCCTGCTAGTTTTGCATCATATATCACAGGTGCTCTTAGGAACAAGAGGCAGAGAGAGGTAGGTTCCCAATTTCTTCACCCTTTCCCTCCCTCCCTCTTCCCAAACTCATTTCCCACCTCAAAAAAAAAAGAGAAATGGGCTGCGGGAAATCGAAACACGATGTCGTCACAGCGACCACCGTCATCAAATCCATGAGATCCGATGGCGGCAAAGAAATCCACACCACAAAAACTGTTACCGACAAAGGCGACTCATCGTTGATACAACAAGTTGAAACCAAGAGTTTGGTTGTTGAAGACAGCAAGAAAGAAACCGTGACAACAAAGATAGAGCCGCCTGCGGATAACAAGGTCGTCGAACCCAGAAGTGTTGTCCCCACATCGGTGGATAACGATATCACAGCTACAAAAGTCGCGGAGGCCCCAACATCCGTGGATAACGATATCGCAGCTACAAAAGTCACAGAGGCCCCCACATCCGTAGATAATGATGTGGAAGCTACAAAAGTTGTGGAAACCGAGAAGATTAAGGATTCCAACCCAAAAGACACCACTGAAGCCAAAAAGGGAGATGTGGCGAGCAAAGACATTGTGGGCGTCACGGAAGTTGTGAAAGAAAACGATCAGAAGAACAAATCATACCAAAAAGACGATCAGAAGGACGAATCCAACCTAAAAGACGATCAGAAGAAAGAATCCAACCGAAAAGACGATCAGAAGAATGAATGCAGCCTAAAAGACGATCAGAAGAAGGAATCCAGCCTAAAAGACGACCAGAAGAATGAATCCAGCCTAAAAGACGACCAGAAGAAGGAATCCAGCCTAAAAGATGATCAAAAAGACGATCAGAAGAAGGAATCCAGCCTAAAAGACGATCAAAAGAAGGAATCCAACCTAAAAGACGATCAGGAGGCCAATGTGGCTCCAACAAAAGACGAAAAGATTAAGGAATTTGATGAAGAGGCCAAGACCGAGGTTGCAGTGGAAGCCAAAGCCACGGAAGTTGTGGAGAACGCAAAGGTTACAGATTCCAAGGAAGAAGAAGCAAAAGGTGAAATCGCCGAGGAAAAGCATGTGAAAACCGTGGATGATTATTCGAATCCCAAGGAAAACGACCTAAGATCCGAGGAAAAAAAGGATGTTGCACCAGCTGAAGAATCGACAAAAGTGGAAACAAAGAAAGGTTTGAAAACTTAAGAAACCACAATTCTTTAAATAAAACTTGTAAAAGAGATCAAAACTAATAAGATTCGAGTTTCTGGTGGCGGGTAGTTAAAGTCGGGATCTTTTTATATGTTGCAGAAGATGTCAAGGCGATCGGAGCAGACATCGTCAACACAGAGACCTCACTTGCAGCAGAACCCGAGAAGGCTCTCAATGCCAAAGAGGTATATATTTTTACCGAGATGACATGTTTTTACATCTATCATCTTACTTATATAGATCACATCGACATGTTGTCAACTTCAAAACTGATGAAATCAATCCCGACTAGAGATGCACAGAAAACTCACTTTCTTATCGTTCCTTTTCAGGAAACTGTTGCTGAAACAAAAGAGAAAGAACCATAAGAAAAAAAGACGAGATGAAATCCTGGACGAGTAATGTGGTTTAACCTAATGCATTTATGGAAACTCGTTATATATTTCGATTGTATACTTATAATTCTACCATGAAACATACCTCAAAGATTAGAATGTGCAACATTGTGAAGTTTCCAAATATATGGTTCTATCTTTATCGTTTTATTACTTCTAAAAAACCCTACATTTTAGAATGGAGAAACGACAACCAGGTGTCTCCACAAAAACAATCCCTCTACTGCTTGAGACCTCATCTGGGTTTGATATGGTAGGATAGGATAAAGCTAGCATAAGGGGGAACCACGAGCCTAACTATGAGATACAAGAGAAACAACCTTAACCTTGCCACAACCCTGTGCCCACTAAATGGAACTGGGTTTTTTATTTTTGAAGCACATATTTACAGAGAGAGGTTACAGGGGAAAATCTTCGGAAAAAATGAAAAACTGAGAACACCCTAATAACCGTTCATTGCGGTATACACATGTGCATACAAACGATTGAAGATGTTTTTTCAGTTTCTATGCACTTGTGCATGTTATGCACATGTGCATATTGGAAAATTTACTTACAAATTACTTGTATACACATGTGCATACCATACAGATGAAGGGTTTACTAAGGTGTTCCTCAGTTTTTCATATTTTTTACAATTTTCCCTGAAACTGATCCTATATACATACAGCAAATACTCACACATGATCCTCCTCTTTAATGAGGCTTGAACCTTTCACCTCCTAGGAGGCTGGGCTCTACCATTAACTCGGGTATCGCTAAGCAATGATCCTTTGGTTAAATGGAATCGAATTGTTGGGGGCAAACAATATGTAATGATTTCACATAGAAATACACAAAGCTCAAGCATTCAAGACTCGATATAAGTAAGCAAAAAAAGAAGATTGCGCCTTAAAAAGCTTGGGACAAGCCAGACTTTGGGTGTGAAAATGAACCTGGTTCTCGTCTTAAGAGATGGGCCGGGCTTTTCGGGCCTTGCCAATTTTTCGTGCTCGGGCTCACTAGAGCCGTGCTTTTTCATGACGAGCTACAGTCATGGATTTTTCGTGCATCTCTAATTTCACACCTAGAGGCAAGCCAAAGGAGGCCTAGTCCAACGTTATGCATCCTACCATTCCAATCCTTGTTTATTATCAAGGCCTAAAATTCATTATATGACTCTAAAGAGAGGCTATACACACATCACAACCTCATGGCACACGTCATAACGAGAGACTAAGTGCATATGTACCATATATTATGGGGCCAACACATCTCTCTGAGTCTCCATCAAGATCAAGATGAACATAAAGTACACCTACTATTGTTATCCGTACCTCTTCCACAACCCTCAAATCTATTATATAGATGGCGTTGATATGTAAACAAACATATGCATTCGAAAACTTTAAACAAGATGCTTAAAAGTTATGACAAATGTCCATATTAAATGACTACAAAAATTTACCAAATCCAACCATTAATACAATTTGTTATATGAAATCGTTAACATAAGCCCCTAAAATATGCAAGAGGATAACTTTCTTACACATATATGCAAACTAAAAGTTCAATCACATTGCTTTCTAAGAATTTGAAAGATTTGTAAATTATCAAGAAAACAATTTTGTATGCTTTTGTTTCAGGTTATTGATAAAGTATGCCTTGAAATTGTAAATTGTAAGCAATGTTGCACAAATTTCACGGACGTCCCTGGTCAAACAATTTGGGATCTAATTTGGTACAGAGAGAACTGACCAAAACTAGGGCTCTTTTGCCATTGTTAGAAATCAAAGAACCCCTGACTAATCAACGAACAAGTTTATGAAAAATTAAATGCTGACAAGTTATTGAAAATTGAACATTTGTCAAGGGAAATAAAATTGTTTATTAGTATGCCACAGGACCGATAACTTCCTATTAGCCCCTAAAATTAAATCAGAGAGCAGTGCCACAAAAGGGACAAAACCTGAAATCAGAATCAACCTTCCGAGCGCAGAACTGACATAGAAGGTTTTCCGACGGCCGCGAGTCTGAAGAAAGCGGAGACAACGACGGAGGATAGAAGAGGCCACAATTGTTGCAGTGCATGAGTTGGTCTTTGGCCGGCCAACGCCAAACCGGGACGAAAAACAGTTTTAAAACCTTGTCGGTATCAACAAGATCCGACGGTGACCGACAGTTGATGCACCTACCGGCTTCTTGCTTCAGCACCTGACGCACTTCTTGAGTAACTCCTCCTACGAAGAAGAAGAACATGGTTCATGTGATCGGAGGTTTCCGGAGTGTTCTACCAAAAGCAGGGGATACCCAGTCTTTACTCTTTACCAAAACGCTGATGTATTTTTAAAGATAAATTACAAAAATCGTCCCTAAAGTTTACCAAAACTGCTGTTTTTGTCACTATCTTTTCGAAATTATAAGGATGGTCATTAAGGTTTCATGTTCGTCACCCTTTTCGTCCCTGGCTGTTAGGTCCATTAGAATTTCTGTGAAATGTGCCCCTCGTGCAAGTCGGTTTATAGAATAGGATTAGCAAAGATCGGTAATAACCAATTACGATATGTGGTAAACCGGTAAAGCGGATGAGTTAGTTTCCTTGCTAAAGTCTATTTAGAATCAATCACATTATACTCGTACATCATAAAATAAGTGTTCACAATGAAAATGATAGTTTAAAAAAATATAATTAGCATAGTTTTAAACCCAATTAATAATAAAATGAGAAAGTAAATACTTATTTGAGTACATTACGGATTTGGTCCTTGTGGTTAGGGGTTTTTTTTTTATAAAATGGTCCCTAAACTTCTTTTATTATAGATTAGGACACGTCGTATGTTGTATTGTAATGAACTAGTCTCACCCTTTAATGGCCATCAAATCCCTCAAAATTGAGGTAGGAACTAGATGACCGTTAAAGAGATGGATCAATTTGTTACAGAACAACATATGATAAATCCTAATCTGTGATAAATAAAATTCAAAGACCATTTTCATAAAATCCACTAAAGCACAATGACCAAATCCTAATTTACTCTATTAATTTAAAAAAAATGAACTTGTTTTTAGAACAAAAAATTATAAATTGTTTGTTTACCTATTAATAGTTTTATAAGAGACAACATCTGAATTGTTAATAAGTGAATCTTGTTTGGAAAAAAAAAATATGCCTCTTAATAATGCTAAAACATTCCGAATAAATTTGTGCTATGGGTCTTCTTCAACCATTCGACGTCCTAATTTCATTGTAAATAATTATAAAACAATTATATTTTATTTTACACTATTTTGTGAGTCTATTAATCATTTTGAGCATTTCAAAATCATTTAACAACTGTTTAACGGGGCTTTCCGAAAATGTTTCAAATACTTGTCGTCTCGCTTATAAAGTGTTGTTGCCTTCTTCGTGGTGTCTCCCTGCTACGTCTTTTGATTGTAAAAAAGCTCCAACTTTCTAGCGTTAAACCCTAGATGATTAAAAGGGAATAAGGTGAAGGAACAAAAAGCCCTAAATTATTTGATCAATGTCTGACCCTCTCAATTCTCACTGCTTCAAAAAGGGAACAGAGGTCGAGATCAGCAGCAATGACAATGGCTTCCGAGGAGCATGGTACGCCGGCACCGTTATAAAATCCAAGAACAGCAACAACAAACGCTTGATACTGGTTGAATATAAGACGTTAATGGCGGATGAATCTGGGACGAAGCCCCTTCGTGAAACCCTTGACGTTGTTCAATTGAGGCCACTTCCACCTCGCGAGAAGCGCGACATGAATTTTAAGTTTAGCGAGGAGGTCGACGCCTACTACAACGATGGATGGTGGGAGGGAGTCGTCACCGGCGTCAATCCAGGGGATCGATACTCGGTTTTCTTTAGAGCCACCAGAGAACAGTTGGAATTCAGCCGGTCGGAGCTCAGGCTTCATAGGGAATGGGTCTATGGTAAATGGGTTCCACCACTCGAGGAACAGGAAGAAGAGGTATATACGTATCTATGTGCCGATTATGTGATTTGCCATAGAAGCTTCTTTGATGAAGTAAGATTGAAGCATAAGTTCCATAGTCTTTTGGCCATTATTTCCTTCCTCATCTGCCCGATATTATATCTCCTGTTTGGCTCCAACCCAAAGAATTAATGAAGCTATTCTCTTCCCCTTTAGCTTTTTACAGCTTTCTATATTCTTTGCATCATCTTTAATAATTATATGCTTTTGTACAATTGAATGCTCTGGTTTTCTCAATTTAGTGGGGGTAACCGTACTGCAAAAATTCCATTTTTGCCGGTTTGGAAGCTCCGAACGGCAGGCAAAAAGAACTGCAAAATGCCAGAGATGGGACAGAAACAGCATATATGCAGTGTTCTTGTTCAAATGACATATATGTTGTGTGGTTGGAGTTTAATTTTATTTTGGTGTTAATGGGGCCACCAGCTTGCGGTTTGTTGGTGTTTGTGGTTGGATATGGTCTTAGAGGGACAACTAGACAAGAAAGAGGCAATCTGATGTTGGGTTTGGAAATCTGTAACTATGAGACCTTAGATTACTCAAGTCTAACCCTGTAAAAATCGGGTTACTTAGTATTTGTTTGTCACTTAAAAGGCGAATTGTTGTTTGTGTGCTAGAAATCAGTCAAGCTTAAGTTACAGTCACAAGTTGCTGCCATTTTTAGCTAGGTTTCAAGGTGAAAAACTCACATAAAGGGGTGAGAAGGTGAAGAAAGCATGAGAAAAATAAGAGAATATATTCTTTAATTTGCAAAATCTTGAATACCCAACTCGAGTATCCTATTATATATCAGCTAGCCTCTTCCCATTACATCACATGATCTCCTCTTTTACACCTACATTAACACGAAAGACACAATGATATATGTATGCTTACTAAACCACCCTTGAATACCCCTTTTACAAGGCTTCCAGGACCTTAAAAATGGTACCTGTCATCAAGAATCAGAATGAGGAATCATCTTCGTGATTGAAGGCAGAATCCAACAATTAACATTCAAAACAGTCAAACGAATAAGGAGAATAACATCAATAGGTATCCCTGTTAACATTAGACATACACTTCAACCAATCGTCATAGCTTTTTTTGCTGATTTTTTTGCATTGTTGTGCACAACATAGACTACTTTCTTATGGCATACCCCTATGCTTCTCAAGTGTACCCTTCCATTGGTGCTCATCAAGCATACCACTATGGTCCTTATGTTCATCTTGGTGCTTCTTGAGCATGGTTCCCATTGCTTCAATTTTCTAATGTTCAAGATCATACAAGACCAGCTTATTCAATAGTGTACCCAATCTTCCAATAAAACTGTTAATTGAACTTGCAAGTCCATGTTCAAAGTGTATGAATCTGATGTTGGCCATACGGATGTCGTTTTTGCATTTGTTGTCAACATACTCGGTCTTGAAACCCGTGGAGACGACACTGTAGACATGGCTTGTTTCAATTCCTTTTGTTTGTCAGTAATTGCCAACTCTCTTCCATCTTGCTCAAGGGATCTAGTCACTCGTTTATATGTGTTTTATGATTGCCATTGTTGCTTCCAGTTTGTCTTTTCTGCATATACTACTTGAAACTTTCCTACACTTGGGATATTTTTTTGAAGTATATAATATTTATATACGGCAAATAGAACAAATAAACTCACACACCCTCCTCACATTAGGTGAGGTTTGTACCCTTGACCTCCTAGGAGGCCAAAGACTCACATACCGCTAGGCCAAAGGCCCTTTGGTTGCACTTGGGAATTTTTGCAGTCAAGTTTCATTCTTCTATATGAATATGTGTTTTGATGAGATTTATATCAGAGAACCCTTTAATCTCTTCTCAAGTTATGTTAACTGTTAAGGTTACATTATTATTTGATATTTGGACTACAAAAACTAACCATGGATGATGATCTACTTGCATGGATGCATGTTCGACAGGTGAAGAATCCCATCAAATAAACATGATCCAACCAACATGTGATCCATTTATGGTTTGCACAAAAACAAAATTAGACTTCAAATTGAAAGCCACCTGCCACATGATTTGAATCTTCTTGACTTCTACTAGTTCTTTGAAGCTAGATTTCTGCTTCAGTATGGTTTATGAATAAGGGTGATCTGTTTTGATCATATGTGCTGTATCTTTGTTAATGGTTCTACCGTTCTAGGATGAGCAATAAGCATTCTTTCTTTTAGGGCCAAACAGTGGCGTGGTTTCATGTGCTTGCGAGTCTTCCAAGCCTGACATCCGAAAGAACGAATATGGTGGGTGATATTGCTTGGTTTGTGTTCGGTTTTGAGTCGGTCATGGGTGGAGAGAGAGAGGTGATGGGCCTTTTGTGAGGTTTTGTGAGGGAGAATAAGTGCTCCAGGGGGGGGGGTTCTGAAAGGAGCAGCGGCTGACCTAGCTGGCTAGCCTAGGGCATACGGTGGCCTGTGCTACCAGTTCACTGTCCTGACATAGTGGAAAAAACTTAAGTCTCTGGTTAATCCCTGCTTAGACTATTTAGTGCTACTAGGTCAGTCGACCGCCTATCTCCACTTGATGCTGTTTAGAACACTGTTGATGGAATCATGAAATGAGATATATGTGGCAAAAGGGTGTCAAATTTCCGTTTTAATGGATGTCATCCAAATAAGTGATGATATGGTGCCCCTTTGGGTCTATCGTTTGGTCCATCTTTGTCCCGTATGTAGTAGTAATTGTGCTATGAAGTTGCGTAACATGTCTTTTTAGGTCATTTTACATTTGTCACCTACCTTATAAGCTAGTATTTAAACATGACTTGTTTATTTACAGCTGTTCAGCTAGTTTGGCTAACATAGCCTAAAAGGCTAAAACTATTGTGAAGTACTTGTAGGTGTTTAAGACTTTGGTGCCATCTTGTAATTTCTTAGACACACACACACACATATATTTAGTGAGAGATAGGTTTAAGGGAAAACCACAATTGATGGGAAACTTAAGAACACCTTAATAACCATTCATTTGTTCAGTATATGCATATGTGCATAAAAATAATTGAAAATGTTCCCTCATTCCGTGCACAAATGAATAGTAATTAGGGTGTTCCTTACTTTTCCATTTTTTGTGGTTTTCCCCTGAACCCAACCCTATATATATATGCACACACACATGTATACATGCACACGCGTATGCAATATACCAATACTTAAACTTGTCTTTCTGCAGGTGTCTATCTCCAAAGAATTGAAGCTTTGCAACAAAGATAAAATGACCAAAGGATCACTGGTTGAAGTATGCAGCGATGAGGATGGTTTTCAAGGTGCTTGGTTTGCCGCCACTGTCACTGAACAATTACCTCACGAAAAATTCTTGGTTGAGTATAAATCCATAAGGAACGATGAAGACACAGAGTTTTTGACTGAAGTTGTTGATACCAACCACATACGTCCTCATCCTTCTGATGAGGTCGTTGATCGGTTCCATCTACTTGAAGAAGTTGATGCCTTGTACAATGATGGGTGGTGGGTGGGCGTGATTTCTAAAGTTCTCAGCAGACAGAGATACAAGGTCTACTTCCGCGGAACGAATGAGGAGATTGTGTTCAAGCAATCTGATTTGAGGCAGCATTTGGATTGGATTTCCGGCAAATGGGTATCTTCTTCTTCGGTATGTACCTCTATGCGTAGGTAAGAAAAATCGTTTATGGTAGTGAGTAATTAATTATCAATTGGGATGGTCGATTGAAACTTGAAATTTGTCGTGATGGTGACGAAATATTCGTCTAGTTTACTTAGCGTTTTTAGTAGGTTCGTCGATCGTTGGGAATTAATGATTACCTTTTTTATCAAATGGCTGTTAATGATGGAAAGATGCTAGAAAGTAGTTCTGTTTGGTTGTGGTGTTTATGAGCTATGGTGGCAAGGTGTAAATGGTGTGAGAAGTGACGTGGTGGTGAGGTCAAGTCTCAAGCCTTAGGAGTTACAGTTTTTTTCAAGGCGTGATTTATGACGGTAGATATGTATACATGTATATTAGGGGTGTAAACGAGCCGATTCGAGTCAAGTAGTAAGTTATTCGAGCTAGGCTCGAAAAATTACTATCGAGCTCGACTCGAGCTTGATTAACTTTTTCAAAGTTGGACTCGAGCTCGAATATTTTTTCGTTGTTTGAGCTTGAGTTCGATGCCGTTTATGAGCTTGAATTCGAGTTCGATTAATTTGTTTATTTACTCAAACTCGATGATTTTTATTATATAATTTGTAAATATATAAATATGTTTGGCTCGAAAAAGTGTATGCTCGAATGGCTTGGCTCGGTTCGTATCGTAAAGTTTAATCAAGCTTTCAAACAAGTCGAGGCAAATGTTTGTGTTATGGAACTCGACTCGCTAAGTTGAGCGAGCTTTATTTTGTGTTCGAGATCGACTCGAGCTTAATAATTATTAAACTCGAGTAGCTCGTTAAAAGCTCGGCTCGTTTATACCCTTATGTATATACATGTCTTCCACTACTACTTAAAAAATCAATATATTATACAATATAAATTTGGTTATACACTAATAATTAAAAATCCAAGGAGGAATAATCCCCTTGTAGCCACGAAGGTTCAAATGCGGTGACTTCGGGCTATCTGCAAAGCAGGTGGTCGTCCTGAGATTAGTTGGCTCGCATAGCGGGTTGGATATTCAGGTTAATCAAAAAAAAAATTAAAGGCATTGAAAAGGTAAAAAAAATCAAATATCGTGTTGCAAAAACCATGCATTAGGTCATGACGGCCACATGCATAATATTGTGTGGGAAACGAGCCTCGAGTTATGGAGATCTACGACGACAGTCATGACGAACCTTTTGGAACACTGTACAAGGGAGAGAAAAATTCTTCTGTACCTTCATGGCAAAGGTCCTCTTATGCAACCATAAACCCTTTATTTTTTAAAGATTACTGAAAAAGCTCTCTTTATTTAGTCATAACAAATGCTAGCTTTTTGAAACAATACCTGAAACAACGTTCAACAATCTCCAGGCGTTTTCCCACTTTTTTTCAAATTATACCTCAGATATCATTATAATTAAAAAATTTAACATGTTCTTTTAGGTCATTCGACATTTTTAAATAAGCTTATCAGTCAGTTTTTATCAAACATGATTAATTTATCAGCTAATAGCTACTTTATCGACCAACAACCGGTTTATAGCTAGTTTGTCAAACATAGCCTACCTCTACTTTTGGTTCCTAGGCATGTAAATGAGACTCATCCCGTTGGGAACTCAGTGTACCTGCCTCGACGGGACGAGAAACGGGGCAGGGATCCCAAAAGTTAAAACCGGGGACAGGGCTCGTACCACCCCATCCCCGTGTATTAAATATGTTGCATATTTATTATTAAAAATTATTATTTATAAAGAATTAGATTTATTATCTTTTAGATTTAGAAGGTGTATTTTGAGCTTTCTCCTTATATACATTTTTTCTAACTTGTTTTAGATAAAAACCATGGAGAGTCGAAAGCGTTTCAAACAATTACGTATGATGTTGTGATTTGTTAACATATGGATATTTAATACTTAATATATATTTTTTGGAAATATGTGAGATATGAACATGGACCATTTTTGATTGAGTGTGGTGTTTAACACATTTGATCTAAAAACATCTCAAATAAACAGAGAAAAAATCTTCGATTTCTTGTTGAGAACGAGAATGGAAATGTGATCATATTTTCTAACAGGGACACGGACATGGATGGAGACAGAGATTGGGGATAGGAAACAGGGGACGAGGATTAGGGTCCCTACCTCATTCCCATGACTATTGGTTCCATTAACGATCTTCCTTTAACTTGGTCACGTGTCTTGCACATGCCAAAACTCAAAAGGGTATTGATGTATATATCTTCGATCTTTTCCTAATCCATGAGATCTTTTCTCTTACATATTTGGTACAAAATGATTTAAGTGGTCAGAATGATTAAAAGACTCTTATGATGTTGTGCAAAATGAAATACAGTTGTTTGATAATTGTTCAGAATGAAATTAAGAGGCAAACCTTTTTTCATCAAACAAGATTTACCTTTTAACAATTTAGAGGTTGCCTCTTACTGAAAAACTATTAATAGGTAAACAAACAACCCCTTTAATCTACTGATGGCTTCTTCACAATGAAATCCCTTGCAAAAATCCAAATTCCATGCTATTTCTTTTATCAGTCTTTGATCAAAATCTTAAAAAGTAAGGGTTTAGCTAGAAATGCACCTGAGGATCTTATAAAAGAATGTCATCCAAGGGAAGGATCGTGTGAGAAGGTGAAAATAAAAGTATAGTGAGAAGTGTAAGGAGTCTGAACCATTTATCATTTTTAATTTCATGCCCATCTATGAATTGTGGTTTAGAAGAAAATTGATCTGGTGCATCACATTAATGTTGATATTCAATTAGGATTGATTCAAAGATGGAGATATCTTCTTACACTTCTCATCATAACTTTCCTTCTCATTGAAACCCAACCCTATCATCCAATGCCTTAAATGCCACTTCTTTGTAAATCAAATCAATCTGACCCAATGAAAGGTCTGGAAAAGATGAGATGTATGCAGATTTGGCTTGTATCCTAAAAAAAATAAAACAATTGTTTCCAGAAAGACCCCTCATGACATGTGCTAGAGTATACACAAGTCGTTAGAAAGAATAAATACCAATATGACGTGAGTAGAGACAAGAAAACTAAGTAATAAAAAAGTAATGATAGACAGATAAAATTAGACGAAAAACACAAAGTCGAATCCTCCTGCTTTTCTTTTTGGGTGTCACATAATATATAATTTCCTCGTTACATATTTTTATAATATTCTTTTTAAAATGTTATCTAGAAAGATTGTGATTTATAAATCTTCTTAATATTGCTATATTAATTATAATTTAGAACCTTTTTACTTAAATTCATATATTTGTTAAATAGTATTTCAAGTCACCAATATGACATTTGAATCTGTTAGTTTGTATCATGTCATCTTAATTTAAGGGGAGCGTTCAAATAAAAACCACTCAATTTGTAAAAATCGTGAAACCCTCATTCAACCAATCATAATTTTTCATTTTGTTCAGTTTTTTGTAATTATGAGAGGTTGATTAACCATTTTTATTGTGGAGGATGTTAATCATGGATATTATCATCTTCATTATTTTAATTTTAGAGAGATACATGAAACAGTTTCATTAAAATTTCATTAAATATTATATGAAACAATTTCATAACCATATATGAAACAAATTCATCAAAAAAAGTATTATATGAAACAATTTCATAACCATATATGAAACAAATTCATCAAAAAAAGTATTATATGAAACAATTTCATAAGATTAAACAATTTCATAAAAAAAATTCATAAGATTAAACAATGAAATCGACGTATGAGGGTGGTTTGTATGGTTTTTACAAATGAGGATGGTTTTCATTTGAACGCTCCTCCTTAATTTAAATAAGTGTAAATTACAATTTTGGTCCATGTGGTTTACATGAAGTTTTGAAGTTGTCCCTAAACTTCAGTAACTATTGTTTACATTTTGCTTTGAAAATCGTTCATAGTCGTTAACTCCGTTAAAAAACTCACTTAAGTGAGGGCTACTTTTGTCTTTTCACACCTCTTTGTCTTTTTCTTGGTTTTGTCATTTTCTTGTTTTGTCATTTTTCTTTTTGTCTCTTACAACAACCTCTGAGCATCTCCAACCCCTGACCCTCACCTTCAGCCACCACCGTCACCTATAACCAACCCCCAACCTCACCGTGACTAAACCCCACCTCCAGCCACCACCCTCACCGTGATCGACCCCACATGTACCTTCGTATCCACCCCTCCCATGGCCTCTTTGAACCATAGTCATGATCTGCAAGCCAAAGCATATATATATATATATATATATATATATATGTGTGTGTGGGGGGGGGGTTGTGTGTGCAATGTGTGTTGTATGTGTGTGTAGTGTGTATATGTATGTATGCATGTATGTATGTATGTATGTATGTATGCTGCAGATATGGAGAAGAACGAGTGGTGAATAAAAGTCGGGCTCGAAGATGACCACAAGTGAATGAAGGTTGAGTCGGAGAAGACCACATGAGAAGACCATAGTGGTTCACGATGCTCACAAGGGGTGGTTACGGGTGGTGATGCGAAAAAAACAAAGATAAAAAGCGGTGGTTCACGACAATGGGTGCTACAGTGGTTGGTCGTAGCCGGAGATGGCATAACTGTCGTCATATTATATATGTGTATAGATGTTAATATGATATGAATATAAATTAGACTAAATTACAATTTGGTCCTTATTGTTTAAACAAAATTTTATAATTTGTCCCTGTAAAAGTAAAAAGACAAAAATACCCTAGTTTAATGGAAAAAATTAACATAGTTAAGTCAAGGGACGATTTTCAAAGTAAAATGTAAACGACAAGAACGATAATTATAGTTATTGAAGTCTAGGGACCAATTTCTAAGATTCATGTAAACCACAGGGACCAAAATTGTAGTTTACTCTTCAAATAAAAAAGTTACGGGTAAAATTTTCAAAGTACAATTTCTTTATAAAAAATAATTTGAAAGTATATTGTTGTAATAAAGAAGTTTGTTAATTATGATGTTATTCAATGCAATAAGCCCTTTGAAATGTGTGTTTATATTGTTTTGACGAGATTATTGTACAAGTTTGAGTCCCGATTTGTCACAACTTTTAATCTAATAATTTAAGAAGTATGTAATAAATGAGCTATACTAAAAGTAAATGTCATAAAGTAAGAGACATGTATCAATCAGTGACGTAGAAAACCCCTAAATAATGTAAAAACTGTGAGAGACGTTAAGTCGCTGATCCACTAGTCGCCTGATTAGGTGGGGGTCCAAACTTATTACAGAGTTCTCGAATCAAAGAATATAACTCTAAATCTTAACGAAAAAAAAAGTAAAAATAATACAGATGTGAGCACTAGATATCTTGGGAATGTTTGCATGTCTATCTCCCCCTTTTATCCTCCCATGCCCCTAATCTTTGGGAGGGTGGTTGGACGAACTCGAGACCTCACGATGCCAACGACCTGGACTTGGTCAGCAGGTCTTCCAACGACTTCTTTCTTTAGCTTAGGGCCTAAACTTTGTATGGCTCCTCTAATGGGCCTCGCAAGGGATCCATACGAGGGGTTTAGGTTGTTTGGTGGAAACGGATCACGCGCCAGGCCTAGGGGATTCACGACCCAGCTCTCGTGCAGTTGAAGTAACCAAATAATCCGTCTCCCAACATATGTAATGAATTTTACATAGGTCATCATTTGAAGTTTTACACTACTTACAGATACAAATTATACAAAAACGCCTTATAAGCGGACATCATATCACATAATATAAGCGTCGAAAATGAAGGAATGTAATCAGTATCTAGTTAGGCGAGGGAGTCCAACAGATGTATCTAAACGATACGTTGAGATTTTAAATTTTTTTGCTCCAATAAATTTTCCAAAAATGGAGAAACATTCAGTGATTTCAACAAAATTGTAGGTGCGAGCTGTTTGGATTCTTATTAAAAATCCAACATTGATACGCACGACAACTACAAGACATTTCACACAGTGAACTTGAATATCTTTTACAAGAAAGATTCTTTGCATTCAAAGTTATAAAAGTACGCTTCATTAGTTGTATTAAAACCACAATACATTTCAAAAAATAGAGTTGGGTTTTAGTGAGAAGAGAAGTTATGGTGAGAAACATAAGAAAAAATCTTCATTCTTGGATCAATCCTAATTGAATGTCAACACTAATGAGGTATACCAAGATACACCATATCAATTCCCTTCTAAAGCGCAATTAATAGATGAACATGAGATTAAGTGATCAACGGTTCATATATCTTATCATATTTCTCACCAGAACCCAACCCGACGAACGTAGTTTTTAAATACCAAATAACCTGGTATATATATATATATATATATATATATATATAGAGAGAGAGAGAGAGAGAGAGAGGAGCGTTCAAATAAAAACTTAGAGAAAGAAATTATGACCAGTTAATATTTTAA